ACGTTCGCGATTCCGAAAAACATCCTTGGAATTGAGATAACACTGATGACAGCAATATTTATTTATACCTCGTATGGAAACGAAATACATCGACATTCTCCATCATCGGTCATCGATATATCTGACCAGACTGTGACCGTCAATGACGTTGTGATTAATATTATTAATTATTGTTAAACTGTAAGCGTATACTCGAGCTATATCGATTTTATATTTTATAATATTTTCATCATTGTTTTTGTACGTTTATTGTACAAGTAAAACCTCTCCATTTGTTCTCAAGAAATTGTTTTTTTCTTCCGGCAAAAACCGCACAAGTGTTTACACAACAAAATATGAACCTATATGCAACTATAGACCTCCAACTCGGGGGTTCGTTAAAATTGTAGACATATTACAGACCAACGGGGCACTCCCCACAATCCCACTTACAAAACTCTCATAGTAACTACACATTTCATCCAAGTATTTTATATTTTTCCCTAACATTTTTTTTATATGACGACTGTCGTTTAAAATACCAATGTATTTCGTTCTACTTATTAATTATGAAATACATAGATTACAAAAAAGAAGACATAAAATATTTAGTAGATACTTTGAAAAAGTATATTTTGGGAGTGATAAAATCTTCTTTGCACTTCCTCATTGCGCCTATCCAATGTATTATAATATTATCCTATTAGATTTATACAGGAATATTTTGTGTATCAATAAAGTAAAAATCATCTGTGATATTGCATGGTTGTTGAGTATGTAACATTCAATCAATGATTTACCTAAATATTTCCATTAGGCATAACAATGAAATATACAATTAATGTATTTTAAAACGTTACTCTATGCAACAGATACCTAAGCAATATTTTCTGAATGACAGCAGTCTTAAGAATTAGGAATCACATACATAATATTACGCAGTTGTGTGATTTCAACTTAAAATGTGATCTTCCATATATTTCCATGAAACATATCGCTATTGAATATCTATGGAATGTGCCTTTGCACACTGAGATATATTATACTATGTATATATTGTTCGGTCCCTACTATGTATGCTTTGTTGATAATATTATAATATGGCGTAACTACGAAGATTTGACAGTCATTTTTTTTCTGAAATTAGTAATTACATTTAAATATGTAATAATATTAAAATACATATAACAAATACACCTGCTGTATAGGCATTAGAAGTCGAGAAAAAAACGGCAGTCGCACAAACTGAGAACATAATGTTGTTGTTGTTGTTATTATTAGCCGATGGTACCTAATATATAATGTGAAAGTAACTTGCACCGCGCGTTTCCCAATCAGAAAGCATAACATCAGCCTATACACATATAATAGTATAGTACCTATATAGATATTGTGTGTGTTTGTGCTAATGTGCTATTATAGGTAGGTAGTGTGATGTGTTCGTGAATGTGTTTACTAATTAAGTATTTTAAGTATATGCGTTTACCGTTCTATACACTTTTATGCTAATTGCCAACATACCATCCGACTGTGGCCATTATCATTATAATTTAATAATTATATCGCTAAAAAAAAAAATTTAACAATAATAATTCGTTCTGGAGATTTTTTTTTCATTCCTTCCCAGGTGGAAACCGACTACACCACGTTACCTCTTTAAACTTGAAAATAATATACGCGCGACATTATTAATATTAATGCTATTCTATAATAATATAATCTGAAAAATCTATCACGACGAACATTGATTTATCACCTCTGTCGCTCCACACCGACAATAATAATTTATACCATTATCGCACATACACAAAAATGTCAATTATTTTTACCACTAGGTATTGGATTGACAACTTGCATTTTGTTATGCCCAGTCACATAAAAATCCTTCGTTATATACGTGGCCCACGGCTTACAGGCGGAACACGGTTGGAAATGTAAACTGTTTCTCGGAATTTCTTCAGTGACTCATATGTGACATAACACATACATACCCACTTAACTCATGTTTATTTAATATTTATATAACAGTGAGTTTGCCTAAAACTAGTAAAACTATAACTGTCCCAGCTATATAGTGACAACGGCATACATCTGACTTCATACAGATGTAGAAAAAAATAGTACCATATAATATTTGTTGTTATATATTGTAACAACTATATTACCTATTTTATCGGTTGTCCGTCTGATCTGAAACAAAAATATATAGGTTTTGAACCCCTCTTTTGGGTTTGAAGTTCACGGCGATGAGAAAGCTACAGGCATAAGCTGGTTGCTTGTTATATATCTATATTAAAATTGAAATTCTACTTCGTGACGTGACTGCACGAGTTTCAAAAGTGATACGCGAACACGTGTAATAATAATATATACATATATAGGTAGGTAGAAACAATAATAGAGAAGAACAACGACGAAATCCGCAATAAGCAAATTGACTCGCGCGAAAAATACGACGATAGCCCCCGACAACAATGTAATATCAATCATATAAAATATAATATTATTGTGTAGGGATATTGAAAATCGATTTCCTGTCGACGCCGCCGGCCGTCTATTATTCGATATCTACGCATTTATATGTAGTGTTGTCGTGCCTCATCATCGCTGTGGCAGACGAGTATAGAGGGAAAAAAAAGACGTTATATGCACCGAGCATCCCAACTACACACATAGTATATAATTTTAATATTATGACGCATTAAAGTCTCCGAAAATATCGTTTTCTTTTTCCTTCTTGGTAAAAAGTACTCCGTGATCGCTGCAGCGCACTGCCGTTCTCTGTATCTACGTAAAATATACAAAGCTGGGCACGTTAATGATTTTTTTTTACTCAGTCAAGTTAAAAGTTAATACACACTTTTTGTTAACTTTTTATTAAGTAAAAAAAACGTTAATTTGTTTATACAACGCTATAGCGTGCTTAATTTTTTTCCAACCCAAAACTAAATTATAGACTATATTGTTTATATACTTATTAAACAGTATTTCCATAAAGTTAGATTTTAATATTATAATTGTTTTAACTTCAAACGATTCACTGCAAATATTTTTTGACATGAAAACGAAATATAGACTGAAATAGATTAGATTTATATTTAATAAAATTAAAAACAAAATAAATTAACTTACCTTACTTTTAAAATGAAAAAAATTCTTGATTTCACTTTAATTTAAAAAAAAAGAAATAGTAATTTAACAGTTATGTTAATGAAAATCTAAAAGTGACTATAGGTAAGTTAAAAAGTTAAAATTTAATTAACTTTTTAACTTAACTACCTATAACATTTTAACACGTTAATGCCCAGCCTTGAAAATATACCATGGGTAAATCGTAGCTGAGCGGAGTGTACGTCACACAAACTGCTCTTATATATATCTTATGTATATATACAGTTTTTTACGTACATTTTTTTTATACGTTTTATTTACCACCGATCACTATATTATTATTCCGTCGGTTTTGTCGTAGTCTTCGCCCGACAACTCCGTCTTCGAGCGGCAGCAACGAAAGTGTATATAATCTGCGCTTGACTTCAACATGGCTGCTACGACACCATTACCGCAGCCGAGTAGCAGAGCTACGGCGTTTTTTTTCCGCAAAGCGAAATGTCGTTTATTCGAAAATGAAGTGCTGTTCCAATAAATATTACCTAAAGGTATTATTATGTATAGTGTACGAAAGAAAATTGTTCAAACATTTTCATTTTTGTTATATTTTATAATTGATTATTGATTATTAAAGAGCGAGCTATAAAAAACAAATTGTGAATTAAATTTGACTGTAAATAATTACTCTCATAAGAAATAATATTATGTTATATTCTGAACAAACTATTTTTTTTAATGTTTGAAACGAGATTGATTTTTAAACCGTCCTTCGCATTGTTTTTTTGACTCTTTGTTGATTTTCTTTGCACAAAAACGCACACGCTCGAGGATATGAATGTAAAAAAACTATTTCACGGACGGTTAAAATGTTTACACGACGCTATAATAGCACGCTATGTACATGGACATCGTGCACACAAATCCCAAATCTAGGTTTGTGACCTTTTTTCACTAAAATTGCCTACGGGTGTTTCAGAGGCAATTCAAGTATACCCATAGTGTACTTACTTGCATACCACCCGAAGCATACCTAGATTATAAAATATGAATACATCGATATTCAATAGTACCTATGTGTAGTATTATACCTATATAGATTATTATATATTTATATCGATGTTCGTTATGTTCAAAAATATTATATATAATTATTTATTGTACTGTGATTCGACATAGACCTCGACATAGACATAATTATTTACATTTATATTCAGTTTTATTACTGTGTTTGGTGTATTTTTATTAAAAATATATGCATTTCTTTTTTATAACTGATTATTATAATAACCGTAGTGTTGACTGCAACCATAGGCCTATTGCATTATTATTATTATTATTATTATTATTACTATTATTATTATTATATCATCACACGCATTTATTATAGTGACTTATTATAATAATTAGTTTATTGATTTTTTTCTTTGATGTAAGGGCAGACCCCAGACTTAGATATATCCTTTTGGATTAACCATCATATCGTGTGTGTTCATAATAATGTTTTTAGTTTTTAAAAAATAACCATTGTTTGAGATTCAACCAAATAACATTCAAACTAGAAATAATCAATTAATTTATCTATGGGGTTGATTCCGGTACCACAGGGTCATTGGTAAACTACCTATAATACGAGGTAATTCAATAGAATGATATTTTTAAAATCGGGAGGCAATTCGAGGGTCAAAGGTGGTCATACAATTTTAGTGTGCCCGTGAACATACACGTGGTCTATCAGCTGATCGAGATACTAATTATATACAATTACACGTCACGATAACAAAGTAAATAATGATAATAATATGACATATTGATAATATATCATATTAATATAGTGTATTAAAAAAGTGTATATAAATGTATTTTTCCCGACACTATAATAATATTAACCGTGTGAGTTTTTTTTGTTACAGGACTATGTGATCCGACCGGAAGTCCTCCGACCATATGGGTGGACCGGAATTGGGTGGTCGACTCCACGGCACCCGTCGGCACGGTGGTGGCCCGTGTTCGCGTGTCCGACGTCGGCAACGAGACGGTCCTGATGTACGGGCTGGAACACTCGACGGGCTTCAACATCGTCCAGGAGAATGAGGACCCGTTGCCGTTCACCATCGACGAGAACGGAAGAGTCACCACAAACACGTCTCTGACGAACAAGGTATAATATTTAAGTTACCATCATCGTCATTAAAAATCAAATCTTCATTCACAGTGCGTACCATTTTTATTTTCAATCCTTAAATTGATTCATTAATGAAACGTTTCTCCACTTCTCTCTATCCATAGCAACTTCCTTCCATTCTTTATAGGATTATTTCCCCAAATCTAACATGATCTGTTTCATACAAGCCTTGGTCTTCCTCCTCCTGGTTTCCCTTCAATTATATAGATGTTACCCATGCATTATTTCTTAGGAGGTGTCCTATCCATGTTTTCCTTCTCTCCCTGATTGTTGTCCATATCGACCTCCTTTCATGCATTTTATGGTACGCATCTTCATTTGACGTTCGTTCTGTCAAAGATATTTTTAATATCCTTCTCCAACACCAAGTTTCGAATGCTTCTATTTTTCTTCTATAAGCCTTTAGGATTGCCCATGACTCAGCTCCATACAGAGCTACATTCCATACCATTGTTTTAATAAGTGTTTTTCTGACATTCATGCTGAACGTTTTTGTGGTGAACCATAATTATTGTGTTATTTAGGTCTCCGTCGATTATCATTACCTCTAATCGCGGTGTAGTATAAAGGTATACTTACCACATGTACCTATATACATGTATTTTAATGTCGATCCGAAATCTTTGGAGGAGAATTTCGTTCTTATACATTATTAGCGCAATAACCCGCAGCGAACTCACCTGTATAGGACGGTGTCTCGTACCAACGTCAAAATAAACTTATCGTAAATCTATCTACCATTACGTGTATACCCATATGACATTATTGCATTATTGCATATAATATCCGGTATCGCATATGCGTGTATACCTACAGTGTATGAATTATTATAATAACGGCAAATTTATAACATAATATTATTTAATATATCTAACTATCTACGTTATTATATTATGCTGTGCGTATAGCGAGTATTATTATTTTCGATCCAACACGTCCAATCACGGGTAGACAATTATAATATATTATGGGCGTGTAACATAATATTATGCAGATAATAATGCTATTGCTCACTTTCCGTACGCTTATTGTGTAAAGACAAAGTGCGTATTTTACTGGAAGGCAGGGGTATATCAATTTAGGATAAATAATAAAAATACAAATATAATCATATGGCTGGAACACGTAATAACGGAAACACAACTGCGGCAGAAGACGCCGAAATGAGAAATGGAATTCAACAACAATATAATAATGACATACATTGAGTCGTACACTCTATATTTAAAATTTTAATCTGGGAGTGGAGAAAATCGAGAAAAATCATAAATCAGATTCTAATTGAATGCATTAAGGGAAACAATAAAGGTACAGCGTGACTCACTTAATTATGCTCACTCACTTTTTTCTTTAATGCAGTTATTTAAAACCTGATTTTTAGAATTTTTAAATAATATACCTACACTTAAAGAACATATTTTCAAAACTCTTGAGACTTATTATAGCACTTAAGGAGTGTCTTGGATAGACAAAAGGGATACAAACTTCAGTTTTTCAAATGAGAACCCACCCTTTTCACTGTAAATTATTTAGCTGATAATTTTTCTGAACATTTTGACATATACAAGAATCAAAATTTGAACAAATAGTTTTTTATTTTTGCGTACTAATGATAATAGCTCCAATGTCCGTGATAATAGTTTGGAAGATATGGAAGCTTATATGGTGATTTCAATATATTATTATTTACTGATATAATCTATCAATATAGTTAATTTGTAAAAATTGCCCAAGTATAATATAACTAATAAATAATAGGTTCAATATCGTATTATATACATTTTTATCTTTGTAAAAACATTTTTAAGGACTATAATTATCATTACTCGATTACTCATTACCTAGTATAAACATTATAATATCTAAAAACTATACTAAACAATTGTCAGTAAAAAAACAGGACACTATCTTTAAGTAGTAAAAAGAAGTTCAAGAGTTTGAAAATATTAGTAATTAGTAATTATAAGTATTTTGGGAGCATCCAGGGAGTCATCGTAAACATGTATGATGAAAGAGATGTCGACCTTAATTTGGAAGGAATCTATGAGGTAGGAATACTTTATAATGGAATCGAATGGATTGTGATGAGGGTGTTTGATTTTTAGTAAGAATAAGGCAGCAAAGAACAAAAATCTATTCTGCACTCACTTCTCACGACCATACGTAACTGTAAACAAGCGAAGTTGGATCTAAATCGATTATAAAAATATAAATACCTATATACTCGTGCACAGTTATAACTTAAAATATTTCATACTTCCTTATAATATATACAATTAGGTACCGATAACCTATATATTACATCATAAGTGGCTCCAAATTTCCCTATCTATGAGTAGAAATTTTTTCATTTAACCAATTTTCGAAATCATATTTCTGTGTTACGCCTATACCTAGTTAATAATTTGAGATCAATCGATATATAATAATAATAATCATATGTAACGAAAGTTATATATAGTATACATCAGAACTTGTTCGACGGTTGTATTTCAATTTTGCTTCGATATCTTCATCAAGTCACGACCAGCTGATAAATAACGCCATCTACAACAATAATTATTCTTAATAGTTAATTTACAATATTTATGTCTAAATTAATCGGAAAGGTTCGTAACCACTAATCTTCGTTTCAATTCTCGTCTATAATATTACTATAATATTACGATTATTGGCCACAGACACGTCCTGCGCGTGAAATGTAGGCATAATAATGGTACCGGGTCTAACGTGTTATCATAATAGGTATCTACCTAAACATTCATAGTTTTATAACGTGGGTTATGGACTATACCTATTGATGAAACACAATGGACGACGTCGCCCGTCCCATTTCAACATGCTCGCGACACTGAAAAACGTTCTAGAACTCGTGATATAATGCAATATTTCATGGTATGAGCGATGTATACATAATACTATAATAGATTTTAATAACAATAGATATCTGTTTTCCGGGGTAAGAAACTCGGTATATCGGTCTATAACAGTGAATATATTGATAAGCGCAACTATATATAGAGGTGATCATTTTTACTCGTCTTACCTATTCTCGAGCTTACACCTTTATTTTACATAAAATATATTTAAACAACTTTATTTCAGTTTTTGTAGGTAGTGTTCTGTGACTTTTGACTATATAGGTACATCTGGTTTTTGTTAGTTAAAAAAAAATACCAAATTTTAACTTCCATTGTTTTGCTTTCGGTGAATGAATTATGTGTAACCGATTTCCAATCCCCCCACACCGCCCCTTCCGATGTGACGTTGGATTCTGTTTTATTTCCGTTCTCAGTCCTCAAATTCAATACATGCTGCGTAACTCCGTAATAATAGGTATGTTCTAAAAAGTGTGGATTTTAAAAGTCAACTGAATTTCATATTTTTCCCCGTTTACTTTATACAGAAATTTCTTTGGGATCTACTTGCGTCATCGATACTTGTTAACCGATTTTTTTTTATTATTATTATAAATAAAATTAGTATAAATTAGGTTACATACATGTATCACAATTTTTTCTTATTGATTTATATACCTCCTAAGCAATAATGATTGTTTGTAGGATGACTGATGAGAGTTAATATTAGTAGGTACTTAAAATAATTATAATTTATATGTTATGTATTATGGTTTACATTTACACGATGCTTATATAATAGTAGACAGCAATTAATTGAAATACATACCTAATTTAGATCAAAAACGATAGAAGTAATTATTATACCTAAACAAAAATAAACAAAACAAAACAAAGTATACTGATAACATAAACTAATGTATAAAGACAAAATATACGAATACTAATCGCATAAAGTAATACACTAATAATACAATATAAAAGCTAGATATTTTATGTTAAAAATTTCCAATTTTATTACTATTTTTTATAGCAATTTTTTGTATTATGATTATGATTTATTTTAATTCTAGACTTATTGAATTGTATAAATAGCTGGAGCAAGATAATAATGAAAAAAAAATCCAAAACTCTTTGATCGAAAGATATATTTCTGTGCCTACTTAATTTTAACGTCATATAACATATTATGCCCAACTCTTCTTATTTTTTTCTGATTTATTTAATTTATAACAGTTATTAACTGTTTTTATTATTTACATGTAATTGCAACTATTTTTATCAACAGATTTTATGGTAAAATATAACTTCGGGGGGTTTTATAGTTTCGTAGAGTAGATCGTTCTAAATTAAGTTTTCATGACAAGTAAAAATTGTGTTGTGTATTAAATGGTTTAGTGACCATTTGAGTAACACCTCCCCAGGCTACAAGATACTTTTGAGATTGACTTACGTTTGCCTTTGTTGCGTCGTATCTTTTTTTTTATAATTTTTATGGACAGTCATGTCATGTACACTGTCTTTATTAATAGCAAAGAAAGTATTGTATCTAAACGTTTAGTAGCTAATAGTTTTCTTGAACTCATGAATCAACAACTTTTTTATCTTACTTTCTGGCTTTTGATTACTTACATCTTGCACATCGACAATTTTAGAAAATTACCATAGTTACGTCTAAATATAATAATTAATCGTTATTTAATCGGTATTCTGCCAAATATTATACTATACCTTTGAAAACATTAAAATGACTATTGAAAAATGGGTTTGGCAATTTATCAATAGTAAAATTATAAAAAAGATAATCTCTTCGACGTCGAAGATAATAAACTTTTAGTTCTAGTACCTAATAAATAATAATCTATAATTTCTTACACGTGACTCGCCAATGCCAACTTCTCTATTAAATAATATGTACCTATACTTTTAATTTATTTTACTCATTATGACAGTAGTTCTTAGTGTACGCAATGGTATTTGGTAACTTTGTTCTTAAAATTCCTTTGTCGTGATCTGTTTTTACTCATAATTAAATAGCTATATAATTATAAATATATTTCCCTCGGTGCATAAATTAAATTAATTAATAAACAATAATTATTAGGAATTGTTAAACATTAGTCAATTATAAACATGTATTATAATATAATATATTATATAAGTCATATGTACCTAAACCACCTAGGTAATCGTTTCCCGTGTCGAATCAAATAACTGCCATCCGTATGTTGTTTTCCTTCCTATTAAGAACTAATTATTTTTTTTAAAACCATCGTTTCGTTTGTTTTTCCGTACGCCTATAGTTCCGTTAGCTAAATGCCAAATTTATTTGACATAAAAAAGCGTTTTTCAGTAAACTGGAGTCCATCCTAATTAGCATCCGTAATTATTATTAACTAGGTTATTAACGCTCAAGACTTAAATAATTTATTACGTTTTAACGTAACCCCGAAATAACACGGTATGTGTACGTTTTAATATAATAATAGTAGGTACATAATAATATAATATATGATAACCTACAAGAAAGTCAAAAGTAGAACACAGTGTTTCTCTGCGGCGTGTATAATGTATATAGGTATAACTACACATTATTATTCCAACAAGTGTGCTTGTTAGGTATTGACGTTATTGTATAAATTAGTATTTTACTGCAACCACGGTCTTCTACTTGATACGTGTTTTGATTTTGTGATAGCGAACTTCAAAAACGATTTCATTACTATTGTGTTTGTGCCTTTGTGTTGGCTCATATAGTTTACTCTGGAAAAACCATAGGTTTATGATCGCGTAATAATATAATAACAATAATTATTAATCAGACCTCAAATAATTAGTTACCTATTCAAAGAGCGGGTTGAGAAACCGGTAAAAAAATCCTTACAAAACGGTTACTCAAATGTACGATTGATTTGATTGGTTAACTTTCCTTTTTACGGTGGCGTCTTTTAGGGGAGGGACTGCGTATAATTATCTACAAGATGAATAAATGGTGAATTTTAAATAACACAAACAATTAAAAACATGGTTTATTAAATACATTTAAAAATAAACACTTGTATTAAAACCATTTATCTTTATTAGTGCTAGTTATTATCATCTGACGTTTTCGTTTTATAAATTTCAAATTTTAATGTAGGTATATAGTTCAAAATATGTTAATATATTCCTCCCCGTCAACCAAAGTGCATCCTTATTTTATAATAATCGTATTCGTTTGCGTTACAGGAGGGAAAAAACATTTACCTGTACGTAACGATCAACGACGGACACTTGACGTCCAAGACTCAAGTATGGGCGAAAGTGGAAGGACCCGGCGGTGGTGGCAGGAATAAGCCACCGAGTAACGGAGGACTTCCGACAAACTTCTTGTCATCACAGTTCCGACCACCGCCCCCGCCGTCGATACCGATCAACGGGGCTGGAGGCAGTTTTCCAGGCGTTGTTTTCACGCCCCCTAACAAACTTCTACCCCCTGGACAGGCCAGGACGACGCCACCCCGGCCAACGAACAAAGTTCCTACGGCGAAGCCGACGATGCCCACAGTCGTTACCACTCAAAAGACAGTCGCCGCTGACATACCCGTCGCCGAGGCCACCACGTCGACGACCACGGTCGTCAGCACAGTCGCCTCGACCGTGGTAGCCGATGCAGCCGTAAAAGCGGTAAACGGCTCAACCACCACAGAGTCAGCGCCCAGCACCGTCACCACCACGGCCGCTACCACCTCCCGGTTCGGCGACACAAGGAACGTAACAGAACCAGCGCTCACCCCTCCCACGGTGACCACCCAGCAACCAGTTCAAAATAACCTCGTCTTGGCCCTGGTACCCATTGTGATTGCTACCGTCTTCCTGACCACGGCTGGCGTGCTTGCCTGTTTGTTCCGCAAAAGACTATTTTCCTCCAAAGTCAAGTCTAAAAAAGTAAATTCCATTGTGAGTATAACAATAATGAGCCTTCATTATACGATATAATATTATTACGCCACGGTATTCGTCAAATAAGATACTGGGTCACGCCCAGTCCAGAGTAACTAAATCTAATTCTAAGTTTATAAATTATAATATATGAAGCCCACATATACTAAATAACCAAATTTTAGTTTGATTTTCGGGTACGCTATTATAGTGTATCATACATCGGTGACGACCACATCAGTGTAGGTACTAAAGCGCATTTACAAACATTGAAACATGTTTTGGTGCTGCAATCATCGTCGTATTTTGAAACCTTATACCTATGCAATCGCCGCACTCTTCTCATTTATTGATTTCTTCTCTAGAAAACTTGTAGCACAATGCAATCGCATTGTATTATCACGGTAATATTTATATACCGTGTATAATATAAAGTTTGTGGCAAACTGCAGTTCCGCGTAACTGTGTCGATATAATATTATACTGCATATAAAACAATATTATACTTACGCTTTTATCCGTTTTCTTCTAGGGGAAAAAGAAGAGTTCTAGATCGGACGACCCGATGGTCATGCACCACTGGAGCGGGCCACGGGCTTTCACCAGATACGAGAGCTGGGGCTCGGATCCGTCGACCAATGGGCAGTACATCGGCGACAAGGAATCGGCGATCAAAGAAGGTGACCCCTGGGAGATACCCAGACACCACGTGCGGGTGTGCTCAATACTCGGAGAGGGTAGTTTTGGCCAAGTCTGGAAGTGCGAGGCGTACAATGTCATGGGTAAGAGACGCTCGTTCAAATATGACAACAACCGTAACAACAACAACAATAATAATAATAATTATTATTATTATTATCAAGCACTGTTATTGACTACAGCGCGATCATCGCGATGATATCATCTCGAATGCGGTAAAAATGTTGAACACGACTAATGTGTATTACGATGCGCGTATATTTGTCTAGGGTTCAAGGGCAACATGGTGGTCGCTGTGAAGACGCTCAAGGACAACGCCGGCGAACGCGAACGACTCGACTTGGTACAGGAACTGCAGGTGATGAAATCGCTGGAGCCACATCCGCACGTCGTAAAACTCTTGGGATGTTGTTCGGAGAGAGGTATATTATTATAATATGTCATTAGAGTTAAACGAGTTTTGGTGACAAAAAGCTGGCGAAAAAATAAAATACCATAATCATCGTAATCATCATCTAATTTTTGCCTTAATATATTTTATAAACAAGCTTTTATAATATTATGAGAAAATGTTTTTTTTTTTTTTAAACTCATTTGATAATCATAATGTCCACGGCATGTTATAAAGTTTGTACACATAATGCATAACTTGTGAACAGATTGCATGAATAACATCTTGAGAGTATGAGACACAGACAAGTATAATATTATATGGGCCGTCCTATACATCTACGGTAAAATAAACTTTGGTTGGATACACAATATGGTTTTAATAAGAGGTAAATTTATATGTTCGATATCGTAAAAATAAAAACCCTCATCATATCACACAAACGTGTACAAAGATTGATTGTTGCAACAATAATGATAATAATAATTAATGCCAATATGCAATGTTATCGTTTTTTTTTTATAGTTATGTTAGGTATTTTAATTTATGGGATATCGGTTTTGTATAAAACGGAAACATATTATTATTATATCGTTGTAGGTATATTGGAAATAGAGGTTGCCCATAGCCCATTTCTAGTAATCAAATCCCTGCGATATGTCACGGAATGAACCCGTGGCCCGTGGGTACATTTCAATTTGAGCACAAACAATCAAATTTGACTATATGATAATTTCTTTAAGTACCTTTTCTTGTTAGCTTTTTTCGCCAATACAACTATAATTATAGTGTACGTAGATATCTAATGTTTAGTGACACGTAAAAATGTACCCAACAAAATCCCATGACAAAATATCCCGATTATATATTAATTCAAAATTATAACATTCATTATAAATCTTAATTCTGCATTTGAATAACTAATAATAATTAACTGCAACTACTACTCAAGGATGGGCATGAACAAGTTATAAAGTTATAGTTCAGTTAAAAAGTTAAAATTAAATTAACTTTTTAACTTAACTATAGTTACTTTTAGATTTTTATTAACTTAACCGCGTTAACTTACTAAATTTCTTTTTTAATTAACGTGAAATCAATGAATTAATTTTTCATTTTAAGAAGTAAGTTAAGTTAATTTATTTTGTTATTAATTTTATTATATTTCACTATCTCAGTATATTTCGTTTTCATGTTAAAAAATATTTACCGCGAATCGTTAAAAGTTAAAACAATTATAATAGGTATTCTATAGGAATCTATCTAACTTATATGAAAATACTGTATAAAGTGTAAACAATATTATCATTTAGTTTTGGGTTGGAAAAAGATTAAGTACGCTAGCGTTGTATTAACAAATCAACTTTTTTTTAATTTAATAAAAAGTTAACAAAAAGTGTGTATTAACTTTTAACTTTTAACTTTTTTGTTATTTGTGCATATTATATACTTTTTAATTACTTTTTTGGGGGTTCTATAAAAAATGTTAATAACTAGAATTGTATTGTATTAATATCAGCTATGCGACTTGTATAAAAAAAAAAAAGGTCAACATTTTGAATTAATATTTACCCGGGATATTTTGTCAAGAAATATTTGTGCGGGGATATTTCGGTTTTGGGATATTTTGTCGCGGGACCCTAATGTTTAATGGCATTAAGGTAACAATATGCCTATAATATACTTACCGACCATATAATATTATGGTTCAACGGTAATGTGTGTACAACGTGTCTAAATATTTTGTTCGTTTCCGCCGCAGATCCCCTGTTCGTCGTTATGGAGTACGCGAAATTGGGCAAACTCCAGAGCGTGTTGCGGAACTCTCGCGGCGCAAACTACTACACGAATACGCACGGGCCGAGTTCGTTGACGTCGCACGAACTCATTATGTTCTGCTATCAGATCGCCAAAGGAATGGACTTCTTGTCGTCGAAAGGGGTACGTTGAACTTACTGCCTATACGCATTATACCCATAGTATTAGATATAATGTTATATTGTATGTACGTACAATGCACAGACGACCGCACGCTGCAACGTTAACGATTGAGTTTCGCGCTCCGTAAATTGTTATAATATATTATTATTATTATTATTATTATTATTATTATGATGATGCTATTGTAATTGGTGCACGAAGCGTTCAGTCTGTAGACACACAGGAAATTCAAAGACGATATAATTATAGTGTACCTGCTGGAAATCGAAATTCCATCAAAAGTCTCAAATCCGTAGAAAAAACAGTGTATATTTTTTTATTCTTTTTAAATATTATGGGTAGGTAAACGCTCTAATATTAATTTGACTTTGGTTCCAAAAGGCTAATATTATTATTTTTAGATTGTTATCATCGCTTGTCGATGAATAAGACTTCCGATAAAAAAATTGCATACGCGCTGCTTTTGGTATCGTTTTTTTTTTACATAAGATCTAGGTTACACATTTTATTTTTATAAAGTTTTTCCGTAAAGAATTAATTATTTAAAAAGAATAACTAACGGAATCTAGTCAAACAAATTGTTTAAAACAATATAGGTATTAAATTAATATTTAATTTTATTAAACAATAATAATATACCTACCATTCATAATATTTTAAAATACAAGATTTTGTAATTTCACTCAATTTTGATGCACAATTTATTACACACATGTCTGATGCCTATTTGACATTTTTCTTAGCCTTAGCTAATTCAATTTTCATCCTTGATTATTATTTATTAGTGTCATAGTTTATTTGTGACTAATGGTGCTTGTGTACATACGAGTACCTACCTAATTAAATGTACCCATACAACTTATTATAACTTATAATAAGTTGTATGTATTATAATTTATAAGACTAATAACCTTCGTAATTAGAGTTTAATTATCATAGCGCACTGTCAATTTAAATAAGTGTGAGTGGTAACTGAAGAAACGAAAAACGATTTCGCAAAACATATTTTTCATCCAATCTTACAATATTTGAATATCATATTTCACACTTATATAGTTTAATATATTATATAATATATACTCCAGGGCCCAGATACCTATATAATACAAGCTGAACCCGTGCACTTCGTTGCCCCTTAAAATATGTACCAACTCTATATGACTCAAACTTTGTTCAATTCGTTATTTAATATTCGTTGTATGGTGTTTAAAATTTACCTTAACTTTTCCGTTGCCCGGAATAAAAAGTCCGATTCGTAGCAGTATATTATCAGGTAGGCAATCTACCTTCGGTAGATCGCGGACCCCTGGTTTGTATGTAAGTGTATGATTTAACTCTAAAGTATCAAAGTTACGTACATCAAGTTTGTCGTATTCTACCTATGGTGGAAAATAATATAATATAATATAATATAAAAATATATATTATATGAATATAATCAATTAATACAAAATCCTAACCTAACCTGTTGCATCTCTGTTGTATTTTTGACATCCAGATTTCCTACTTTTCCGGTGGATTTTCCTAAAATTTTGTTTCATAATAACCTTCTCTGTGATATACTCTTTCGTTTAAAAAAAATCAAGAAGATCTGATAAGTACCTAGTTTCAGAGTTGACCCAATATTTTGTCGTTTTGGTCGTGGCATTTTTTAACGCCTAAATCCATACAATTGAAATTGAATAAAAATCAATCTCGTTTAATCTCAAACCAAAATAGAATTGTGGTTGTCATGTCAACAGACGTTTTTTTCATTTTTCATACATTTTTTTGTTGTTTTTGGTCATGTCACCAGGTGTGCACTTATGAGGCCATAACTCCGGAACCATTTATCGCACAGCGTACAAACTTCACAGAAACCATCTACATATCAATCTTAATATGCCCTGAAATCGGTTCGGTGGATCTTGAGCTATAAGATTTATTCAAAATGTACACTTATTTTTATATATATAGATAGATTAAACACTTCTCGAATGTATTGTCGAAAACGTAACTTTTACCATAGCAACAAAATCTAGTTACTATTGTCAAATGCACTTATGTTGTACTGCGACAGTGCGATGGAACAGAGCAAAAAAAAATAAAATACCGAACAACATTATTTTTATTTCAAATACGAATACTGCAGAAAAAAACGACCAACTGATGAATCTTTATTTATTATATTTTCGTGGTTTACAACAACTCTACCCATAGGCAATTAATGACTAATACATTAAATACGCACCTAATATTATTGTAGTCAATTAGTTGGCCGATCGGTTTCCCTAATTCTCCGTCGACATGAATAATAATTTATACAATGAAACGGGTTCTATGGTTTTTAATATATCACTCCTTTTAAATTCCGTACGAAGTAATAAAATATAATACACGTTGAACGACAATTTCACATTCCAGAAAATTACGTTAAGATTTACATATGTAGCTGTACAATGATAATAATAATATGTTCCCATGGACCGTGAGATAAATAATTTAATAATTTAACTAAAAACGCAGTATAAGAATTAAATAAACCTGTGACCTTGGATGCATGCGTGTAATTAAAAACTTATTACCTATTATAATATTATGTATTTACGGTTTGCTTGTCGTTTGCGAATAACGAATAAAATAATATGTGATTATATTTAAAGTGGCTCTCTATAATTATAATCGCTTTAATAATCTTTATTTAATAATCGATGATGAATACGACGATTCTGAAAATTATTTTCCAAAAATACAATACCTTCTATAGACTGCAATAGCCAATAATGATAACCTTTATAATTGTTGTACATCAATAATATGTAAGCCTGGGAAAGTTAATTATGATTTTTAATCGATTTAAGTTAAATTGTTATAAAATATTTTAAGAAGTTTTAAGTTAATACTTAATAGTTATCCTATTTTTTTTTTTTTAATCTGTTAAATTAAAAGTTATATAGAAACTCACAATTAACTTATTAACTTAAGTAAGTTATTTATTTATTTAATTTTTATAATATATTAATAGCCAGTAATATAGTTTAAAATAATAAAAAGTAAATATTTACGCAACATGTATCATCGATAATAATCGTATTATATTTTTGATTTAATTATTTATAAATTATCGTAACTTGGATTTGATTAAAACTAACTCGTTATTTATTAAGTTTATATCAATAAAATCAGTCAAGTTAAAATTAAATTTCAAAAAGTCAAGTTAAAAAGTTAAAATTAACTTAACTTTAACTTTTTTACTCGTTTATGCTCAGGCTTGATTATATGCGATGTTTTAATTTAAAGACGATATTTTTTTTCATTCGCATCTCCGCGCACATTAGGTCAATCATTTCTCGATTACGTTTTACAGAAAATAGCAAAACGAAAAACGGGATTCCAAAGTAAAAAAACGTCAAATATATATATATATATATAATAATATAATATAATATTATACCGACATTATACTGTTCGACGGTGCCTATAGGTACATGTTTTTAACCGCAACAATTATTATTATTGTTCGTGTATTCGGACACGTAATAAAATATTATGCCTTCATCTCACATCTATATTAATATCATGTAGAGTAGGTTGCAGTCGTCTGCTGCAGTACAATATTACACTGCCGTGGAGCGCAATGTCGTTCATTGACCGTCGCTTATTATTATTGTTTGTAGTTTCGATTCGGATAGGTATAGCGAAATATATGTTTCCGAAAAACACGCCCGCGATTGTGCAGTTTCGTTTTAGTGCGAAATCATTCGGGGGCACACGGGGGCAATAGCCGGTAAATATTCGACGCGACTACGATAACATTAAAAAATTCATCAAGGCTATACCGATGCAGTTACAAGTCACCACACTCTTCTCATTTATGGATAGGTACTCCCACTCGGCGGAACTCCGGAACGCACAGCGATTATACGACATATTGTGCAATAATTAAATAAAAAACGTCGATCGTACCCAAAAATCTGTAGGTACGGTGAGAGCTACTCGATGATGACCGACAAGACCGATCGAACGGGACGTTTTTCCGGACAGCTGACGATGATGACGTGCGTTATTTGCCTGGTTGTCCTGTAGGTCCCACTCCGACCGTAACAACAATAACGCACCGATAACGACAAATTATTAGAGTCACGTTCATTAATATACAGGATGCAACGTGAAGACCCGACTGATGAAATTCATTTTGTTCTAATCGACATCTTTTAATTTTTTTTATACAAAATGTATTGACTCTTGTGCTACACTTATATATCCAATAATAAAATGTTTTTATTTTTTAATATTGAAAATAAAAAAAAATAAATCTGGTTTAGATTTTTTTTGGAAATTTTAAAATAGCCAATTTATAAATTTGGATTTTTGATTGTAAAAACATTTATATAATGCAAGTGGCTTATTATTTATGATTTCTTAAAATGTAAGCAAATTTTTTGAAGGCTCATTAATTTGAAAAGTATTATAGTAAAATATTTATCTTTTAACAAGTAACTATTTAAAAGTTCTCATACAATAATAAATTATAGTTTATACTTTTTGAATTTAAAATATTTTTTACGACTATATCAACTTGACGAAAATTATGATATTTCAAACAATTGTAAGAAAATAAACTAGGTATAACTCGAATAAAGTTTTTACAGTCAAAAGTTTTCTAAAATAAAGATTTACAAATATTTTTAAATTTTTAAAAAATTAAATCAGATTTAAAAAATTTTATTTCATAAGTTATACCTATATAAAAAAATTTTAAATCGTTGATTAGAACTAAAGTTTTTTTACTTGTTAACTGTCACAATTTGTCAGGTCTTCCTGTTACATCCTGTATAGACACGATTATTGTGTTTTGGCACGACGGGTCTCAAGCGTACATTTTTAACATTCGAAGCGAGTCTAAATAACCGACTGCAATCAACGGAGCTATATTATATGTACTAACGTGGATAATAATTGTATTTATTAATATATTATTCATCGTATAGAATAGTATCAACACTCCACGATCCGTCGGTTTGTAATTTATACTCGTTAGAAGAAGAAAAATCCCACTATGAATATTGTAGTGTCCCGTGGAGTCAATAAATGTGTATATCGAATAATATAATAACAGATAATTTGATCTAATATATAAATCGATCATTATTGGACCGCGATCAATTTTTATACTTAAATATAACTATTATATAATATACCCCTCTTATAGCATTTTGTACATCAGTTGCACCCAACGTGTGCAGGGGCAGCAGGGTGTGCATTTTTACTCTCGCTGGACGGCTTCGTCAGATTCGTGAGGGCCGAGAATAGAACTGTTCAATCTGGACCATCCTATAATGTTCAAAAAAATAAAGTTGGCTATTCAAAAAGTGTATTGAATTACCAAGGCTAAATTTTTGGGTTTAAACTATAGGTCTGTCTTTAACACAGATATATTATTATTAACATTCATTAAAGATATTTTTTTATGACGTATATATCTATAGTATAATTAATCGAAAAATAAAAATAATTAAGGTTTCTCGTGTCCCGTCACAAACGATGCAGTACACTAATATTAATTCCGTTAATCCACCGTCAACCAGACCAAATCGTATAGGCTGTTTGTATAAAAAAAAAAAAAAAAATTGGTATATAAAAAATATGTTTGCCGCACCTGACTTGATGAAACTCCTAGCCCGCATATTAGTATGGATTGCACCAAACGTTTTGAGTAGCTATTTTCGACAAAATGATAATATTACACTACGTAACGTATAGCAAATTAAAGAGCATGGTATAATAATGCATAATAATATAACACTCTTATTGATGTATTGTAGCTCGTAGATATGAATTCGTTTTTCGGTAAAAGACTTTTTTTGTTGCTATTTGCTATGAGATACTTGTTGGTACGCACGTGCATTCTTACCGAGGATTTGAAAATAGATTTCAACTCGACTAGAGTCAGAATAACTCGTTGGCTACTCATCGAGATCGTTAAGGAACCTGCATTTGCTTGTATGTGTTTTTAATAAGGGGTAATATTTAGGTAATATTATGCAATTCCGTCTTGGCAGACTCATGGCATTTGTGTTAGCCGTCAATGATGATTAGTGTGAGTGTGATTGTATTAAAATTGGTCATATCAAACATCGTGGTATATGGTTTAGAAATATAATTTTAAAAATTCAAGTCCAATGAGTCCTGTTAGAAATGTTTCTCTTTTAAAAAAAAAACCCTCTACGAGTCCTCATGAAAGTTTTTCCTGTGAGGTGTCGCGTTTTTGAGCAAAATAACAGGTTACATGCAACCGCTTAAAATATAGTATGTGTACGTTTTAAAAAACCGAACGTGATAAATCATAATTTATATATTATATATTATTATTTTCTATAACATTTCGAATATGCAGTAGGCATAGCGACGCGTATTATACGAGCACAATGTTACACAACGGAAAACTGCTCGTGTGCGTTCAGTTCCGGCATAGCATGGTGGCGACAGACGAGGTGTGACAGATACGGGTGCTGGTGGGTGGGCGGTTGGGTAGCGGTGGAGACTAAGACAAAAAAATGTGTTGCGACGATTCGTGAAATCGTATTTTCCACGCGTTCAAAGACCCCTAATGCGATTTTGAAGAAATGTACCTTTATAGAATATTATATGCCCAACACACGAACGGCAACAATATTAACGAGGTCTGAGCTCTACTACGGTCGCGTATTATGTATTTACTTACATAAACGATTACGCATCGAAACTTACAGCGCACATTTCGTACCACGTTGACCGAATAAAAAATGTCGCTTACACCGCACCACCACACGAATAATATATGTCAGACACGATATTAATAAATAAGACATACGGAGTATCTATAAGGAATATATTCCTTACGTGTCACGTGTCGCGTATAATATGTAATTATGTATGGGATAGTGTTATAAATGTACGACATAATAATAATATAAAACGATAGATGAGAACGTTATTTTTTGCATATTTCTTGTTCCCCGGTTTGAAATTCACCCCCCCCCCCCTATCCCCCATCAATTTCCGTATTTTCCAAACCACTATACGACTACACATAATGTAGTATAAAATGTGTCCCTTGAATAAGTGACCAGCCGGCGTCATACGACAGCATACCTTTAGTTATATGAAAAAAACATTTTAAAGGGTGGGTCTAACTTTTTCTTTTTTTAGTTACCTATGGGCAATACAACTTTTTTTTAAATAAATCAAACCTACATCACATTTTCTGATGTATTTCAAAACTTTTCATTTTTTGTCATTATTTTTATTTTAAAGTTATTTTACTGTGCTATCAAGTATTAACGAGTATAGACAATCAAATCTGGAATGTATAAATTATTTTTATTAAATTTAAAAAATAGGGTTCTGTAGAATAATAAAAATTAAAACAAAAACAAAAACTGCAGTAAATACGACGTATTTGGACTTATATTCGATTTCCTTTTAAAAATGCCAATTTTCGCAAACTTTTTTTTTACTTTTTTAATGTAATAAAAATGATTTGTGCATTTCTGGTTTGCCATATTTCAAATATTATAAATTTACGTTTCCAAATCGTACATTTCTTTTAGTTCAAATCAATAGGTGACAACACACAATTGTTTTTCTTTTGGAGTATGAATTTTTAAGAATATTTATCAAACCTTTTTGCAAATTTGAAATTTTTTCACGCATATTTTTCCTCCTACAACTTCCGTATATATATCTAATAATAATGCATGTTCGCAGATCATACACAGGGACCTGGCGGCCCGGAACATATTGGTGACGGAGGAACGGGCGTGCAAGATCTCCGACTTCGGGTTCGCGCGGGACGTGGCCAGCAGCCGGGTGTACGAGCGCAAGTCCGAGGGCCGTCTGCCCATCCGGTGGATGGCGCCTGAGTCGCTGTTCGACAACATGTACTCGGCCAAGTCAGACGCATGGTCGTTCGGCGTGCTCATGTGGGAGATCGTGACTCTCGGCTCGACGCCGTACCCGGGCGTGGCCGCGGCGGACGTCATGAAGCGCATCCGGGACGGTTACCGGCTGGACAAGCCGCAGCACTGCCGTCGCGAGGTGTACAACATCATGTTCTACTGCTGGGACAAGTGTCCGGACGACCGGCCCGACTTCGCCGAACTCATGGGGCTGCTTGACAAGCTGCTGGTCGACGAGACCGACTACATACAGCTCGACCGGTTCCCGGACAACGCGTACTACAACATCACCACGTGCATCAGTGGCGAGCGCCTGTGACGGGACTCTAGCGCCGCCGCCGACGCCACTTCCGCCCGGAAGTGGATGACCGGCTGTGCAGTCGTTTCCGTTTATCATAATAATAATTATATTGTATTGTACATTATATGTTATGCCTACGTATTTCGGTGGTCGACGGTCTAAAAATAAAATAAAAATTATTTTTTAAAAAAACACTTTCGAAGTAGCTGCAGGTATGTCACATAGACTGCAGATAGGTACGGCACGATAAAAATATTTATTACGATTTTTCGACATCCGGCCGCCCGGTACACAATGCAACACAATAAAACTGCGTGTGATCGCGCTTTATACGAGAATTTATCAGTTGTGTAATATTATTATTGTATGTATTTTTTTTTCATTGTCTATAAAATAAAATGATATTACGACGCTTATTGTATGTACATAATATATTATGTTAAGAATTTTAAAACTTCGTTGACGTCGTTTATTTAGTTTTCACGACGTACACCCTTCTTATTGCTCATAATAATAATAATATGTTATAATAATTACTATACAAATATACGATGATGTCTGGATAATATATAGATCGAATCGAATATTTATATCATTACTAAATATGGCGTATTTCGTTGTTGTTTTTCTCGAAAAGAAAATCACTAGTCTTTTTTTTTTAATTTTTGTACTTACCATACGACTGTAATCGTACCTTGTTTGTATTTATGTCATGTTTTTCTGCAAACGTTATTTAATATACTATATATTTATAAGTATTATATTATGTACGAATGTTAAATTATTTTGTGCGGAAAATACGATCATAATATTATGCTATCATATATATATTTGTTATAATTGTAATATTATGATAATTCATTATTTAGTACCGAAAATATATTTATGCATAATATTATATCCATCAATTATTGTAAAACAATATATTATAGTTGCAAAGTACTCGATTTTATGGTATATAATATATAATTTTTTTAAATTATAATTATTATATTTGTGCAATTTATATTTTGTGCCCGGTTATTTGACTTTGCGTTTCCGATGACTGACAATAGTATCAATAAAATTAAAGTAAACTTAAAAAAATCAACTAAATTAATTCAAGTGTATCAAATTGTAATTGTACCTTAAAACAGTTTTACCTAACAAATGGTAAACATAAAATTATACCAAATACTTATTGTTCCTGTCGTGTAAGAACAAGCATTTAGGTATACGTCATTGTATAACCGTAAATAGGTTTCGACGTGTCTTGTGAATTTATTGAAGATAGAATTCCATATTTCCGTTCATTTTTCACGTCGATATCTTTATCCTTCACTCCCGATTAATGAGTTTACCGTGTCTCTGAAATCGCGATTAATACATCGCAGCTTATTATTATTTATAAAAAATACAGAAACAATACAGAATTCTGTGCGTGACTTTTGTCCATATAATAAACTAAACGCACGCAATTATTTAAAACTCATGACGCCATTTAAAAGTATTTTGTTTAAATAAAACATAAAAACCGAACATTTTATCGTAGCAGACGAGTTATGACAAGGTTCTTTTTTTATTTGGTGTCGATAATAATTGTGTTAACGCAAAACATAAATATAGGTAGTAAAATATTTATCATGCCTAAACTATATATACAGACCAGACGCACAATAAATTACATTCGTGGCATAACTCCAAAGATATTGTGGTACGTTATTAATAGCTGTCTCATTACATAATAATTAATATTTTTATAAATTACCTTGTAAATTACCTATGCTCGAATTGAGTAAAAATAGAAAAAATGAGCATGGGGGGACGGAGATTCTCTTTTTTTTTACATTAACGCGGGGACAGCACAAACTTATGTCCGAAATATAATTTTAATTATAATGTGGAGTGGATTTGACTTGTTGTAACTAATTTAACATTTTTAATATCAAAAATATTTAAATATTTTTTTATCTTTTATGTGGTTTAGATTTTTAGAATACCTTGCCATTTTTACTATAGTTTATTTACATTATATCACGCTTCTTCCTCTTTCTAGTGCAGTACCTAGTGCACATGTGGTTATACTATGTACAATAAACTAAGCCTGGGCATAAACAAGTTAAAAAGTTAGTGAAGTTAAGTGAAATTTAACTTTTTAACTTAACTGATTTTTATTGTGATTTGTGATATAAACTTAATAAACAACGAGTTACTTTTAATTAAAGTACCTGCTCTAAGGTCTAATAACCAAAATAGTATTTTAATGTTTGGGTATGAGAACTTATGTATGTCTACGTATTTTTGGAATAAAATTAGTTATCGCATAAATGCATAATCTATGTGAGACTAAAAGGTACCTAAATTGCCATTAATATTACAATCATATAAATTAGCAATCCTGGTTAATGATAATTAAATAATATGCACATTTTCGTGAATTTTTCATATTTTGTCAATATTTAACTTGGAATACTTAAAAAAAAATTGTGACTATGGATTTTCAATTTTTTTCATCAGTCTTTGAAACAATATACTAGGAGAAACTGAAAACTAATGGGAACTGAAAATGTCCGCAAACAGCTCAAAATAAGTCAAAATATTTGGAAAATGTCATGTTGTTTAGAAAATGCTAATATAAACATTCAATCAAAATGTCATGTACCTATGGTCATTTATTTAAGAGTTGCACCAAAAACCAAAATTGATTTTTTGGAAAACAGATTTTTCGTACAAATTTCCGTTTTTCCTTAATTTTTCTTTTGTTTTTCACGGCACTTTTGAAAACTACTGGGAAATTTTAAAATTTGACCTCCCGAATGCACCAACTAGATTCACTTTCCAATCAAACAAGATACTGAAGTTGAAAATCGAAGCATTTTTACTGTCCTAAAAGGTGATTACAGACACAAAAATAAAAAAATAGCACACATCATTGTAAAATCAATACATTCATCGCTCAGCTCAGAAACTGAAAAAATTACATTAATTTTAACTTTGACATAAAATATATTCAGTAATATAGACGACCTGTGTTCGCCCAGAATCGATTTTTGAACTATTTTATATCATTTGTATCACACATTAAGAGTATTTCACATTTTATATACTCACTGATTACGCAATTATTACCTTTGAAATTGAGAGGTACCCACTTGCCAAATTGTTATTCTTTTTTTCCATTTTATTTATCTTGAGTATCATAAATTAAAAGTATTCAAATTTGACATAGCTAAATACCTACTCAGTACATTTCAATCGTACACGATTAAATGCAATATTTCATGAAACTCACACGGATATACATATTATGGCTCTCTGTTTGCCTGGGAAAGGCTACGAAATGGATGAACCGATTTTGTTAAGGATTTCACAAGTATTTTATTACATGGTAAATATTAAAACTGTTTAATGGATATAGTTTTTACTTTACTTTATATAATTTTTAACTTTACATAATATGATCAAAACAATTAACTATTAAGTAACAGTGTTAAGCTGTGTAGTTTACGTAAACAGAGTTGGGTAGAAATAAATCTTCAGGCATTTAATTTTTCAGGATCGACAGGACAACTTACAACTTAACGTAGTACTTTAATTACTTTTAATGGGATACCGAATACATAACCCAAACCAGTGGCGTAGCTAAATTATCTATCTATCACACCGTGTGATATGAATACGTCACAATATAATAGTTTACTTTACAATATTGTAAAAATATTTAAATATATCGTTTGAGATATTATGTACAACTATACAAGAAATATCTACAAAATGTGTTGTAAACGTTGAGATAAAAAATACCTTAGACAATTTATGGTAATTTTATTAAAATGTGGTAATTTAGATTATTTAAATTTGTTTTAAATTGATACACCAACTCTATACAACATTAGACAATGTGAAACCCGTATCTAATGCAAAATATTTAATACGTTAAATGTATATGTGCATGAGAAAGAAAATAATCATCAGTGATACGTCATTCAATGGTTGGTTTATTGAAAGTAAAGTTAAGTAAAGAAGCACTTTGTAAAAACTACATTTTATATTATTGTGAACTGTAATTGAAAACTTGAAAATATGAACTTTTTCGAATCGTAGTAAAATTGAAATTAATATTAAAAACGGAAACCGTTTCGTACGATCCGCAGGCATTTTTTTTTGCTGAATTCAAATATTTTTTCAGAATTAAAGTCAGACAACGTTAATTAACTTTAATTTTGTCAAAACCAATGTATGTTTTTGTAAAATTCGTGTAGTGCAATTTATATAGTTATCGAGTTATTGACATGCACATGTGCGTACGAGAGGTTTCCATCGATAGTCGATACCCGCATTTAATTTTACTCACACTAATAATCATTTATAACTGACACATACATCCCGGGTGGCTATGATAAGATTAGAAATTGCCTAAATGTTGCCCCTTAAATAATGACCGTAACGAGGCCGCTTGTATAATGTTCAAAACCATACAATTTTCAAAATATTTTTACTCGCTTTGAACTGTTTACGGACATTATCAATTTTCAATACATTTTTGTTTATATTTCTAATGTATAAAATGTCTATAAAATTGTATTTGTTTGGTCGAAAAATAAAATTAAGTAATATCTTACTTAATAATATATTACTTATTGGTTATTAGTATTTATTAGTTATTAATTATTATTATTACAATATGCCCGTATGCCACAGTATGGTATGGTATATCTTAATAATATTTTTTTTTACCCATTCGGTTTTTTTTTACCCGGTTCCGAGACATTTGCGGTCGGCACCTTTTGCGTGCCATTTGAGGACAATTTATTTCTAACTACCTGACTATAAGATTTGGGTGCTATATATAATATTTTATATACTATATAATTAATTTATGTTAATAGGTATAATATAATACTTTTTTATTATAATTTATATAATTATATACTTGTCAATCACAATTCACTGTACTTACACGGATCAGGTTACTGACCGCGACCTCGAGAAGAGCGGGTCGTTCACTGGGCTTAGCCACCTGGTGACGCCTCTGGGAGGCGGAGTCGGGCCTACCGTGAGCCCGTGATACACAGCCCAAATCTCGGGAGGACCATAAGCTGAGGCAACTCGACGACGAAGCTTCGTCCGAGCATCCCACCATTGATGTGCTTTACCTAACGGAAAGCGTGAATGGTGCTTCGGGATGTGGGGGAGCCCCTCGGTGTTGAGAGATTAACACCGAGCCCTCACACGTCGGTCGTGGTGGACACTGCCTCGACCGACGGCGGATTGGTTTCGAAGTGGCAGTTTGCAGGAGCATACTATGTGGTAATAGACCACACGCTTAGTCAGGGGAAAGTTGCCGAGTGACGGTGCCGGGCGGACCCGTACGGTGACAGCCGGCCGAGGAAGCACGGCCCCTCCTTAGCGCATACCCAGCCTATCGTTGGGGCTATATGCAGCGAAGGTTGTCCGTAGCCAAAAACGGAAAGCAACGTGGATAGATTGCGACACCACCAAGGTAGCGAAAGGCACCTGTATGCCCTAGCTCAATGGTACGGGCGCTCCGGAGTTTTCCTCCGTGTGTGCCCGGTGCTCGTGGTCCTTAGACGACGTACGACCGCCAGTCCCGCCGACCCTTGAGCCACGTTAGACACGAAAGTGCGGTGCGGAGGACCGGCGAGCGGCGCTCGTAAACCTCCGTGGCCCTTGACTAGCGCTCAGCGCTAACATAAGGTCCGCGGTTGCAGCCGCAAGGCATAAAACCCGGGAGCTTCACTGTACTTACATAAAAAATGTGCCGAAACCTTTTTACCCATACCTTTGCCCCCCTCTATTGAAAACTGAAATGATCTCACTGATGTGCATGCCATTACAATTCACCTGTTAATGACATGATGTTAAAAAACATGATAGATCTCGGATGGTGACGACGAGATTAGAAATTGCCTAAATGTTGCCCCTTAAATAATGACCGTAACGAAACCGCTTGTATAATGTTCAAAACTTAAAAATTTCCATCGATCATCTTAAATTCAAAATTACTTGTGCATGCCTCACTTTAAAAATCAAAATTTTGGTAGACGCTAATAACCGTATATGTTTATTTTATCATTTTATATGCACCATACAATTTTCAAAATATTTTTACTCGCTTTGAACTGTTTACGGACATTATCAATTTTCAATACATTTTTGTTTATATTTCTAATGTATAAAATGTCTATAAAATTGTATTTGTTTGGTCGAAAAGCTTGAAAATGTAATACAAAGCTCCTTGCAGATTGTTAGAATAGCAGTTTGATAATATTAAAAATACTAATGAATTTTGACAAAGTTTATAAAATTGGAAATTTTTCAAACACACAAAAATGTTGCCAAAATCGGTCCAGCCGTTTAGGAATGCATAAAAGACATACAGACAGACAAACAAACATCCATTTATATATATATATATATGGATATTCAAATAGTTTATAATTATAACTATACATTTATAATACTAACAGCTGTATAAATATACAAAAATTGTATGTATCATGTGTGTGTGTTTATGTATATTATATTGTACCTGAATAATCTGATTAACTACTAACTATATATGTAAAGAGTTGGTAGGTACGTTGAAACAGATAATGAACTAACCATAATTAAGTTTCATAATAAGTCAATGACTCTAAAGTCAAAAGCCACTATAACAAGCTGTATTTGACGGTGAAACAAAATGTTATCAATTTTATCTTTTTACATACGAAAAACCACATACGAGTGCAAATTATTTTGAGTTAAAATGTCATAACAGTTTTCTTATATTTCTTAATTAAAATAACTTAAATAAATAATTCTTTAAGAATTTTTTAATAGAAAATATTTCTATAATTTCTTCATGAGTTATTGTCTACTTTTCACTTGATTTCGATAAAACAAATAACCGTAGACACTTAAAATTTACTCCATATGTTTATTATATCATTTTCTATATGTCAAAAAATATTCAAAATATTTTTACTCGCTTTGAACTGTTTACGGACATTATCAATTTTCAATCAATTTTTGTTTTTTTTTATGTTAAGTATAAATGTCTATAAAATTGTAATCGTTTGGTCGAAAAGCTTGAAAATGTAATACAGAGGTTCTTACACATTGTTAGAATGGCAGTTTAAAAATATTCAAAATACTAATGCACTATTTTTTTAAGCATTTAACTCAAATTTAAAAATCTAATATTGACAAAGTTTATCAAATTGGAAATTTGAAAACTATTTCGTAGTTAAAAGCTTATAAAATATTCAACTTTTATAAAATATATATCCAAGGATTGGACATTTAAAACAAGATTCCACGTAAATAGTCCATAAACTAACCAAAAATCTAAAAAAATATATAAACTCGCTTTTTTTTTTATACATATTTGAAGTTAAAAATGTGTACGAAATTATATCTTTAAACGAAGATGTACGATTTTAGTTGTCCTGTTGTAATTTAAAAATATTATTCCCGAGTACCTGAAACTTTTAATATATTCTAATTATTCTATTATTTTTAAATTCATTGTTTTTGACAAAAATTAATGTAATTTTACTGCATTATCTCCTGTAGTGATTTAATCACAATAATAAATTTATAATATCATATAAAATATACTAAGTAATATTATAGGCTGATCATTTTCGCTCAAGAACATTTTTCGTATAGGTACAATGGTTTTATATCATTTAATTCAAACTTAACACATCCATAAATTCTCTAGACACCTAATGTAGGTAGGTATAACAAAGCGTTACCCACATCCGTCTTTTTCAATAATGCAATTTATTTCATCATAAAAATGTCTTAACCTGAGACCTCGATATTAATCTCATTATATATACAGTCCCTATAGTCTCCTTTATCAGATAAAATTTAATTAAGGCTTAGCTATAAATATATTTTTAGCTTCTGGGTGGAGCAATGAATGTACAATTTATTTTACAATAATGTGTTTTTGTTTTTTTTTGTGTACATGATATTAAGTATACTTATAGTCGAAATAATGCCACCGATCTAGGTAGTTTCACTTTAGGTCAATCGTGTTATCGCATATAGTTATATTCAGGTAGATCGTAGATAACAACAAATAGACCAAACACCGACACTATTTGCGATGGACAAGGGAATAATATATTATAATAATATATTCGATTCTTAAAAAACCCGATATTATGTGTTTGACAGGTATTAATTAATTTCAAGCACATGAAATTTTAAAATATAATAAAAAACTATTTTCTATTATTATAATCTATTAAAAATTATTTCTTTATATCAGTACTTACCTATGTTATGTCGGAATTATTGGACACCCCCCCCCCCTCAGAAAGAAATTGAAAATACGCCACTGGTAAGCGTGCTATTGAATTCAGACTACAAGTACTGATTTAAACAATAAATTATAATCATAATTTGTTACCTAAGTATGTAATGCATAAGAATAATTCATTATTTTAGGATCAGGATTTTTATGTTATATAATGCTTGAAAGACGACAAGCTGTCCCTAGTCTCCTTTATCAGATAACATTTAATTAAGGCTTAATTATAAATATATATTTAGCTTCTGGGTGGAGCAATGAATGCACAATTTATTTTCCAATGATGTGTTTTTTTGTTTTAATTCGTGTATCTATATGATATTAAGTAGTCGAAATAATGCCACCGATCTAGGTAGTTTGACTTTAGGTCAATCGTGTTATCGCAAATACATATTTAGGTACTTAGATCGTAGATAACAACAAATAGACTACCCACCGACACTATGCTATTGACAAGGGCATATTATATTATAATATATTATAGAGTCTTAGAAAACCCGGTATTATGTGTTTAGACTTCAACTAGTGCTGTTGAGTTGTATTTGCATCTTCGTTTCTACATAGTGTTATTTCGTGAAGTAAAATAATAAAATATATCAAGGTACATTATATTATTATTATTAATATTATTATTGTATAATTCACCTACATGCAGGGACTGAAACTTTTATGATTTTATCGGTTTGGGTTTAGGTCTCGGTTCTCAAAAATCCAAAATCTCGGTTCAGGTTCTGGTTTCGGTTTTCAAAAATATAAAGTTTCTGTTAATACCGGTTTTAACCCTTTATATTTGACTTTTTATTTTTATTTTATTTTTATCAATTAAGTACGGTATAAAAAAATTTACATATTAAGAACCTCTATTTAATGATGACAGGTATTAATTAATTTTAATAGTAATAAAAGTATAACAGTTAATAAATAGGTACATCATATTATCATTACTATTTTTAATTTTATTATAGGTACCTACATGTGAGAAAATGTACGGTAAAATATTGTTATTGTAATATTGTAATTTATTGTACATATTTATAAATATATTTGATTTAATTTAATTTCAGCTCACCATTTGCAATGGACGAGAAGACATATTCAAGGATTGTATTTTATTCATTTATGATACTTTTCGGTACGTAATACCAGTGTTAACAATATATTAGTAAATAGAAAATCATGTTTTTATGGCATTATGTATTTATGTTAGTACTTAGTGTAATATAATATTAAAATTAATATAATAATAATAGATAGGTACAGATAATAATAATAACATAATATCTGAATCATGATGTATTATGTTATAGGTAATTGTTAAAATTAATATTAACATGATAGACCTTGTATTACGTCCAATACTAAAAGTTCGTGAATTTTTACAAACATTAGATATTAGTTACTTCTTAATAATCTTAATATTTATTAGAAACTTCAACTCAACTAGTTAAGTCATTAAAGAAGTCACTTGGAAGTGTGAGAAATACCGAATATATTTTTGGTTATATTTATAAAAAAGTTTTAAAAGTAAAATGATGCGAAGATCTGTTGTCATATCATTAGTTTTTAAGTAAATTATGAGCATTTTAAAATATCGATATTTTACATACTCATAACTCACTTAAGGCCCCAGAAAACCCTATTAATTTTTCATCAAAACGACCTTGTGACTGACAAAAATTAAGTACATCTAGTGGTTCGATTTAAAAAAATGTAAAGATGTTTTAATTGGTCAACAAGTCTATTTGAATATATTCAATATTAAAAATTTATAAATTTATAAAATGAAAAATATTTATTCTCGTCAAGAATTTGCTAAAATTGAAAACGTGCTCCGACCGATGCAAAGTAAACTTGTTTATCAACACAAACATCTTTACATTTTTTAAATCGAATCACTAGAAGTACCTTCATTTTTGTCAGTGCGACGGCTATTTCACGTCCATAAATTGGTTTTGAATATTTTGATCTAGACATTGAATGACTTGTGCATGTGAGTGCGTGCGACCATAAACCAGATAAGAAACAACATTGTATTGTATATTTATGTGGGTCGAGGGTGATGGTAGGGGAGTATACACACACTAATGATCATTTACCTACACAAAGACGATCAAGATCCCAGGAAATAAATAATTGCCTAAACACAACTCCTTAAAAATTACACATTTGCAGGGGCCTTAACTGAGTTAACCTATAGTTAAATGAACTTTTAACTTTTAACTTTCTGTTATTGGTGCATATTAACTTAACTTAACTGAGTTAAAAAAAATCATTAACTTGCCCAGCCTTGCTTATTAGTGTAGTTTACTTGAATTTCAATATGTCATATTACTTATTTTCCCTTCTGTTATTTTTTTGGATACTAAATTTATCAATTTGAACCATAATAGAGAACTGCTTGTATATATATCTGACCGGTAGAGCTTTAAAAACTTTATAATTAGTAATGGTCGAATCATATAATTCCTTTTTATTTAAACATATTCTTATGGCAAAATTCTGTTGAACCTCGAGAGGCCTAATAATTGCATTGTCAGTAATAGATAATAATAATATCTATTACGTATGTAAGTACCAAATAAATATAAAATAAATTAGTAAATAATAAAAATAGCTCATTGGTCTAATGTGAACCATAAGGAATCGGGATTGGTAAATTGAGTCCCAAATGACCCTAACTCGGTAAATTGAGTCCCGGGGAAAAACAGGTAGTAGGTAAGTTGAGTCCCGGAAAAAATAAGGTAGTAGGTAAGTTAAGTCCCGGGGAAACGATTTTTAAATAATAATTATTAATTATATAATAATATTTTTCCCCAACGATACACTCTTAACAACACCAAAGCATTCACATTCAATAAAAGTCCATAACTTTGTAACATCGTACCTTTGGTTAAACACAATTAAGATAGGTACCGATAAGTAAGGACTTGTTCGTACGTATATACTATAATATATAGGGAGATAGTAAGATACCGTCATCTTACTATCGCACCGATTTCCCCCGAATATTTGGTCCGCATTTGCTGCTACAACCGTGCGTACAACCAATAGTTGTGAATCGTATCATTCGAGATTAAACCGACGCATTTACAGTCCACATCCGAATATTTTTAACTTTATTGATGAATTACTTGAAGTTCAGTCAGAGACACAAATAAAATTAATAAGTAAAGCATGATCGATAACGAACAAAACCTAAGGGAGCAAATGACCAAATACACCGGTAATGTTATAACCCGATTTGAGTTTATTAAATCAATATCAATGAAGTTTTTACCAAGTACATAATATATATATAATAATAATGATAATTTTTAACAACAATAATTTTTTAAATTAATTTATATAAATCTAAATATTATATAACTTTATATAAATAATATTTACTTACTACCTTTTTTTCCCGGGACTCAACTTACCTCCTACCTGTTTTTTCCCGGGACTCAATTTACCGCTTTCAAAATGTACCAAACTTATCTCGGACTCAATTTACCTAGCCCCAGGAATATATTATTTTTAATAATAGCATAAAACATTATGTAACTTGCGGCGTTTACTAGCCGACAATTAGTGTTCATTTAGGACCATATTTACCTACGTACTATTTATTTTCTGTCCAAAGATTAGCGAGTGACATGGTCCATTATAATTGTCATAATTTCATATTTCAACAGTTTAAAAGATTGACTCTTACCATAAGAAATTTTGGATGAACTTTGTAAAAAAAAGACGATATGATTTTTTACTTTAAAATTATAAAATAAACTCTTGTATTAAAATTAGCACATGACATTTTGAAATACCTATTAAAATATAATAAAAAACTATTTTCTATTCTTATAATCTATTAAAAATTGTTTTTTTTATCAGTACCTACCTATATTATGTCGGAATTATTGGACCCCCCTCCAGAAAAAAATTTAAAATACGCTACTGATAGTCGTTATTGAATTCAGCTAACAAACACTGATTTAAACAATAAATTATAATCTTAATCCACTAAACATTGGTTACCTACGTATGTAATGCATAAGAATAATTCATTATTTCAGGATCCGGCTTTTTGTGTTTTATATTATTCGCCGCTGGACAGCAAGCTGTATCATCTTCATTCGTGTAAGTGACTGTATTATAAATATATATTATGTTATTATAAATAGCAAAATAAAGTCGTGGTTGAAGCCTTTGGGGCTTAGAGCTCTAAAGTCTTAATAAGCACCGTCAAACAATATACGAACATACAAGGGCGCCCATCAATCAGAACCTAAGGGGGAGACAATATCATAAAAAAAAAAATAACTATAAGAACCAACAGAATTGAATTTATTAAATAACAGAAAATAAATACACAACATAGATAAAGGATGTACCATGTACCTATGGACTATGTCATGTATTATAATATGTTCAATAAAAATAGTTTATAATTACAAAAAATTACAATTATTTAATATTTGTCTAAGAAGATGACATGTCACCTTCTTACAACCCTTAATGGGCTTTCAAACATGTAATTTAGGCATATTTAATATTTGGTATTCTTAGTACAAATCACATATTACGATCAGGGATTATTAACTAGAAATATAAAATCTAATTTATCTACTACCTATATCATCTCATTTATTTTTATTGTTAGGTAAACGTTTGACTACCTATTGGACATCAGATTCCAAAATGTCATACAAAATTCAAATATATGCTCCACCATCGAATTGTTAATTATTATCTTGAATCTGTTTAATAGTGATTGTTTTAAGTAATTTACAAATTTCATACTATTACGAATACCATATTTTATTAAAATATTTTGTTCACTGACTAGTCTCCAAAGGTGGGTATTAACTTATTAAAAAGTTAATTTTTTTTAACTTTTTATTTTAACTAGTTAATTATTTTAGTTTTTACCTAATTAACTTATTCAGTTAATATTTTTTTTATTGTTGTAACTTAACTTTGTACAGTTAATTATCATTGTCGTGCAGTTAAATTAATTTTAATTTCGTGTCATGAGTAATCAACTAGACAATACTGATTCGTTGATACTTTTTCGATTTTGGTAATTAATTTTCGAATTATATTTTATAATAATCTAAATTTCTACACAGTGTTAAATGTCTTGCTAATTGTTTGTGTATAACAAAATATTAGGGCTTATGGCTTAAAAAACTTTTCTAACTTTTTTTTTAACTGTGTTAAGTTAATTTTATTTTCTATTTTAACTTTAAACTTATCTAGTTATTTTTTTTTTTTGTTAATTTTTACTTAACTGAAGGCAATTTAATTGAATTAACTTAACTTGCCATAGTTAATAAATTTCATTAACTTGCCCACCTTTGCTAGTCTCTGATTCAGTTAACATAATAATATGTCAGACAATCGTTTTTTAAACTAATTTTTTTAATTTTTAATATATTTCTCGCTGATAGCAGATTAGTAATTATAGTTGGATTTGCCACAACTGTCTATTGTAATAATTAGTAAATCCATCAGAATTTTAAAAATTCTATTAGCTTTCATATGTTTGCTTATAATATTTTATAACTAATATGAAATAATAATTTGTTGCATAATAATTGAATAAAGTTATAGAAACACCAAAGAGAAGTTTAATTGTTCAAATGGAGTATCAATCGAAACGTCCAAAGTTTGTGATGGTCGTAAGGATTGTTCAGATGGTTCAGACGAGATCATAGGATTGTGTGCTCGAAACGAGTATCGAAATAACTTTTCCACTGGTACAAATAATGGCTATATGACATTAAATATTTTTTAAATTAAATATCTTTAATGGTAGGTAATAATTACGATGTGGATAATGCGGTGTAGTCACTCGGCGTCGAAAACTGAATCGTAATTTCACGGCTTCGTCCAACAGTAGTGCTAGAAGCCCAATTCTATTAATAATTCCAGTGGCGGACTGGACGACCGGGATACCGGGAAATTTCCCGGTGGGCCGCTGCTCGTATAAAATATGTATTTATTAATATTATTATTGTGAAATTATAAATAAAAATATTATCTTATAATTAATAAGTATGTAATATTATTAAGCGTAATCCATTCTAAGGAGTAAAAACTAGGCATTTTATATTTCAGTTTATATGGCCGAGTCTTGTGAATATGTTGAAAGTAAATTAGTGTGCATAATTCATAGTAAAGATCATGTTGTATAGGGGCATCATTGTGACTGGATATGTACGTCTGTAATTTTAACTACGCTCGTCGCGCATGCTCAAGTCACCAAATTTTACCTTATAAAATTACAAACATTTTTTTTCAAAAAATACTGCCAGTGACTTTAATCACTACCCTCAGTAGGATGTTCTGATTTAAATTTTGAAAGCAGTTAAATTATCCTCTGCATTTTCTGTGCTTTAAGGGGCCTCGCTACGATAATTATTTAAGGGGCAACATTTAGGCAATTTCTAATCTCGTCGTCACCATCCGAGATCCAGTGGCGTATCCAGGGGGGGGTTTGGGGGTTGTAACCCCCCTCCGAAAATTGTTAAATTATAACAACGTTATCATTAATAAATCATTTTAAGATAAAATTCCACAAAAATAAATTATAACCCCTCCCGAAAAAAAATTCTGGATACGCTACGGCCGAGATCTATCATGTTTTAGTCGTAAATGATTATTAGTGTGTGTGGCGTCATTAACAGGTGAATTGTAATGGCATGCACATCAGTGAGATCATTTCAGTTTTCAATAGAGGGGGGCAAAGGTATGGGTAAAAAGGTGTCGGCACATTTTTTATGTAAGTACAGTGAATTGTGATTGACAAGTATATAATTATATCAATTATAATAAAAAAGTATTATATTATACCTATTAACATAAATTAAGTATATAGTATATAAAATATTATATATAGCACCCAAATCTTATAGTCAGGTAGTTAGAAATAAATTGTCCTCAAATGGCACGCAAAAGGTGCCGACCGCAAATGTCTCGGAACCGGGTAAAAAAAAACCGAATGGGTAAAAAAAAATATTATTAAGATATACCATACCATACTGTGGCATACGGGCATATTGTAATAATAATAATTAATAACTAATAAATACTAATAACCAATAAGTAATATATTATTAAGTAAGATATTACTTAATTTTATTGATATCATTTTTTTTTACTTTTGGTACCTACTACATAATTCTATTAATTCAGTACCTATGTATAGAAAAGTTATTGGCTATTTCCTAGCTGTGTTCGATAATATTTATGATTTTTATTATTTTAAACCATATAACTGGGTATTTATACAGATATTATATATAAAAATAATAACTTAACTAAAGCTAATAAGTTAATTGAGTTAAAAAAAAATTTAAACTTTTTAAAATGTTTTCCAATAACTTAACTTAACTCAGTTAAAAATTATCATTAACTTGCCCAGGCTTGGAATTACAAGCATTTCCGTACATAAAACGAGCACTGGCCAAGGATAGGGGAGGTCATGATGAAGGTGACAGTACTTTCCCCTTGGCTGTAACCAAAAAAAATGACTGAGATACCACCAAATCCGTCCTGATGGTAAATACGTTTACTAGTCGGTACGGATAGTAGTAGGTACTTCTACTGTCAAAATTCAGCGAAAAGATCTCCAGTTCAACTCCATTTTTTCAAAACTTCAACAGTATTCAACCAATCATCAAACGACAAAGACTGAAGACCGGAATGAACATCTGAAGCTGATGAACGACCGATCCAGTAACCAGAAACAAGCCACTACAACAGAACGGATCGATACTCTTTGAGAATCGCCAAAATCGGTCGTATGATCTGATCTCCGACGCCGGTATAAAATAATTTGTAAAAAAATCTAAAAATTGTCTTTTTTAAGACTTATTACTAGGTTTGAAATTAAAATATTGAAAAATGAACTGTCTACTCTTCAGGTGCCTTAATCAGAGAGATAGTAAGTGACCACACCGTAGTATATTGGTATTCACATCGTGTTAATAACTAATAGATGCCAGTGTTTAGCATATAATTCTAAATATTATGAAGCTTCTATGTTCTAATATTACATCTTATTAATTATATATTTAATATTATTTTAGTCTGCGGTAGAGTACATATTATAAACCAAGAAAGGATCGACAATGGCCAAAAAGCCATTGTAGGGTCATTGCCGTGGTTTGCAGGAGTTTTTAGATTCGTTAAAAACGCTTCCAATTATGAATTCCTTTGTGGGGGTTCAATCATATCTTCAAATTTAGTCGTTACAGGTAAAATCTTTGTAAAACGAATTTTTAAAAAAATTAAAATTAAATACATATTATTTTTAGGGGCTCGGTGCTTTTGGTATCATCGTAGAATGTCATCTAATATAATATCAAACATCAGTGGTCGGTACAAAATCGCTGTTGGGAAATACGACAGAAACTTTTCAATTATTGACAATAACTTTACTCAAATAATGGATGTAAGTTATAGATAATTCATAAGTCTAAAAATAATTTCTGTCAAATACATAATATAAATTAAAACAATTGTATAGGTGGAACATATTTACCTGGAAAAAGGTGGATTTTTTGAGTTTTTAGCTAATAATATAGCTATTGTTGTGTTAAAAAACCGAGTTTCTTTTAGTTATTATGTTGCGCCTGTTTGTATTGATTTTGATGGAAAATACAATGTAATTAACGGATATCCAGGAAAGGTTAGTTTGTTGTATTATTTAAATATTAAAATTGTGATTTAATGTACCCATTACTATCGACCATTGTCCATTTGTATGTAAAGTATGTATCTGCTAAAGTATGTACAAATGTTGGCATGTTGCCATATAATATAATAACAACCAATTGAACCTTAAAATTAAAACTGTAAAACCTCTAGACTTTATTCTCATTTCATTTTTCATATTTGATGAAATTTTATAATTTAAAAAACTTTTATCAGTTAAAATTTACATTCTCAACAGCCGTTTAATAAATTATTGGTTTTATACATTAACTATAATTGTACATTATAAAAATGTTTTATTCTTTTACAGATTGTTGGTTGGGGATATCCGAATAATGGCAGTATAAGTCCTATTTTATTAGAATCATCTTTACCATACATCGACCTTAGTACTTGCAAAAAAATGTACCCAAGCGTATCCCGTGTAGTTTTGACTGATGATAAGTTTTGTACCACTTCTGAATTGGGTAATATTATATTATATTTAAGTTAAACATTAATACCATGAAATCATTGATGTTTTTAACAAAATAGTATACAACAGTACACCGCTAAATACTATAGTTTCAAATCACATCTGTCACATATTTTAGGCGCCTATATAGTTACCTAACCATCCTAACACATAATACAGGCAATAATATGTACCTATACTGTAATATTATCAGTTATCACATATCGTTGTAATACTTATGCGCAATTTCAGGTTGTTTAGGGGTGCTTAGCCCACCATCATCGAATTTATAATGATTATAATATTATGCATTTATGTTATAACACTAATAGGTATTTAGATACATTTATTTCTAAGACCTTATAATTTTCATAATAATAATACATAGGCACCTATCAGAATAATTATATTGATAATAATATACTGTAATATTATAAGTAATTGTTTATATTAATATTAATGCGAAAGAATATATAATTAAGTTGTATGAATGGAGGGGGTGTGGGGCCTAGACTGAGGCGTCGGTTGCGACGCTCACAGTTGCCGGTTCGAATTTCGGTCTCGGGCGACACTTTTCTTCGGACAGTCACGATGTCTGGAGAGAGACGCCGCCATCCCCCACCTGGACATGGCAGATATCCAAGGGAGCCCACTTGAAAATTCAGCCAAACACACGTGTTTACAACCTACAATACCGTACCCTCCACCACAGTTAAAAACTACCCAATGACCTAAGTTGCCGTGGGTAAATTAATAAAAAAAAATTAATACACAATAATAATGCATAGGCACCTGCCAGAATAGTTATATAGATAATAATATATTAATTTATAGGTAATTGTATTATTTATACTAAGATTAAAAAGCTAGACCCTGTTAAAAGTTATAAAATGTTTTTATTTTTAAAGAAAATGAAAGTTTACCAAACATTTGTTACTATTCTAGTTACTAGTTGAACATTTTCAAAATTGAGTTTAATCAAAGCAAAGTTGGGTACTTAGTAGGTACAATTCAATAAGAACAAGACAGACTTATGGACTACTAACAATCTTCATCGAACACAATTTAGGTTATAATATAATACGTTATAATAATAATTTATATTGTATAAAACTACTAAAATAACTGATCTAATATATAGATAACATAGAAGCCCCACATGGTTCAGCAAATTCCTCACAGGAATAAACTATTCAAAATATTGAATTTATGCCCTGAACGAAGTAATAATGTATATTTCTTTACCAAATCAAAAATCTTTTCATTATTCAAATGAATGGGCCTTAAAAAGTTGGTCTATTGATTGTGTAAGAATGGAGGGATGTGGGGGCAGAACCCTCCACCGACCGATTTAGTCGACATAGATCTAGCAAACCCAAAAAATTTAACCCCAATTGCGCCTATAATATTGTAATTTAGTACCTCTACTTGTACGTCATTTGTAATCAATAATATAAAAATATGTGTTGTATCTACCACTATACCCAGTACCCACTAACAGTCGTATGATTAATTAAAGTATTGAGTAAAAAAATTTTTTAGATTCAGGACCAGATGTAAGTGTGGGGTATGATGGTGACGGCTTAAGCTTTTTCCACAACAATTCTTACTATTTAACTGGAGTAACAGGTGTCAAGGATCGACTACGTTCAATAATAGTTTTTACAGAAGTTAAGTACCACATGACATGGATTCGTGAACTGTATAACCAACACAAATAATTTAATAAGATTATGGTAATGTTATTAAAATAAATTATTCCAATTTTAATTCAAACCGATATTAGTATATAAATAGGTTTTTACTGATGTGTACAACTTTTTAACAGTTCTTAAAATAATAATTGTTCATTTAAATTAAATTTAATGCGTATCATAATTATTAGTACCTAAGCATTAGAATTTATAGTACGAGTATTAATAATCACAATAATCGTATAAAGTTGAAACATATTAAATTCGAACATTTTTACCACATTATAAGAATCTTTCAATGTATATTAATTGTTGTATGAATATGATTACTCGGTATTGTACTTTGTATTTGAAATAACTACTAATGTTATGTTTTGTTGTTGACAAATCCTGCTTTAAAATCAACATGTTTTTGAAATCAAATTATAAAATATATATTTATTTAATTTTTTAATTTTTTTGTATTTGGCATCACCGTTTGGGGCAGTAACACTGCTTCGATATTCTTCAACAGTATCTTATTCAACGGGAAAGTGAATCTAGTTGCTGCTTCGGTAGGTCAAAATTTAAAATTCTCAATAGTTTTCAAAACGCAGGAAAGACAAAACAAAATTTAAGGATAAACAATAAAGTTTACGCAAGATCAGTTATTGACAACATTGATTTAAGTTTTCACTGAATATTTATATTAGTATTGTCTATGCATGATAACATTATATGAACATATTTTGACTTGTTTTTGAACGGTTTACGGACATTATCAGTTTCCAATTTTTTTATTTTTTTTTATAATTTATAAATGTCAATAAAATTTTATTCTTATTGGGTCAAAAAGCTTGAACATTTAATGCAAGATTCCTATAGTAAATAATAATATATTGTTACAATGCCAGTTGTCAGTTGTTAAATATTAAAAATACATGGTTACAATATAAGCATTTCATGTTCTAATTCTGACAAAATACGTAAAGTTACGAATTACAAGGTTAATAAAACAGTTATAATGATTGGATATAATGTTAGACTCGTACTTTATATATGATCAAAACAATCAAATAACAGTGTTAAGCTGTGAAATTTACGTAAAACAGAATTTAGGAAGAAGTAAATCCTCAAGAATTTTATTTTTCAAGAGCAGCGCCGTGCGTAGGACCAATAACATATTTATGCAACTCTTCCCTAATCATATTATTTTATTTCACAGTATTAATACATAAAATGAGATACTAAAATTAATATAACCCAAGAAACCGGCGCATCTAAATTATCTATATATAACGCCGTTTAATATTAATACGTCATAGAACCGAATATTAAAAATATTGCAATATTTTATCATAAAAATAATATCATTTAAGATGTGTCTCACTGTACAAGAAAGATCTATCAAAATGTTTAGATTAATTGTTTTATAATTATTCTTACTATAGATATTGAACTTTACTACTAACTTAGCAAGGCAATGATAACAGTCAACTTATAAGACAGTCTAACAAATTTGTCTAACTTTATTTTTGACTCTAGACCACTTTCATTTATTGCACTGCTAACTTGACGGTAGCAGCGCAAAAGTTTGTTAGAACATTTTTTTTCCGCTCAAACGACGCATAACGGCTTGTTAGAGATTGGTAGACAACTTTCAATTTTTGTTGGACTTTATTTTCGAAGCAAGAAATTTCTTACTATTATTATTATTACTTATTATTTTACTATTTTTACTACTATACATTTTAGATTCTGAGTGGAACGATGAATTTATTGATTTTACAATGATGTGTGTTTTTTTTTAATTTTTAATTTTTAAATTTTTAAATTTTTTAAATTTTTTAAATTTTTTTTTTTTTTTTGTGTCTGTGTACACGATAAGTAGTCGAAATAATGCTTCGATTTTCAACTTCAGTATCTTGTTCGATTGGAAAGTGAATCTAGTTGGTGCATTCGGGAGGTTAAAATTCCCAATTATAGTTTTCACAAGCGCCGGGATTAAACACATAAAAATTAAGGAATAACAGGAATTTTTACGCAAAATCTGTTTTCCAAAAAATCGATTTTGGTTTTGGTTTTTGGTGTAACTCTAAAATAAATGAACGTATATACATGAAATTTTCACTGGTTGTTTATATTTGCATTTTCTATACACGATAAAATTTTAAAAAGGCTCCCAGTATATTGTTTCAAAGGCAGATGAAAAATATTAAAAATCCTTAGTCACAATTTTTTTTTATAAGCATTTAAAGTTCAAAAATTGACGAAATATGGAAAAATCACGAAAATTAGCAAATTATTTTGAGTTGAGAATTCGTTCAAATTTTTCTTTTTAAATCTAAGATTTGTCATTTGAAAATGTAATACAAGATTACTCATAAGTTTGTCTTATGAGACAATAACAAATAAAAAATAAATAAAAATGTGATTTAAAGATCGAATTTTGACAAAATATATCAAAATCTCGAATTTTATCAATCATTGTAATTAATAAATTATAAAATGTTCAGTTTTTATAGGTAAGGATTGCAAATTTAAAACAAAGGTTCTCATAAATAGTACATACTGCAACCAAATAATCTAAACAATATAATATATGAACACAGTTATTTTTTACACACATTTTAAATTCAAATTTGGACAAAATTACATAATAAAAAACCTAGAATAACTATTTTAGTTATTTTGTTGTGATTGTATAATTTTATTCGTGGGTACCTACTTGAAACTTCTAAAGTATACTACTATAAATCTATGATAGTATCAGGGTTTGCTTTTGGTGTATAACGCGTTATAAGTACCTAATGGATATCCGATATTGTGATATGATTAATTTGGAATTCTTTATATAGGTCAATTTTTTTTAATACCATAGATCAGCGGTTCCCAAACTGTGCACCGCGGTCTACGTTTCATAAGTTTAAAATGTATATAAAAACCATATGGAATGCTAGAATATTAGAATGCTTAGATTGTATTAGGTTTAATAAAATTAATAAAATTGGTTCTCAATGAGTACTTTTTTTGTTCTATCTTTCATGTTATATACAGCAGGGCACCGTGGCTAACTTGGTGCCTCTAAAAGGGCACCGCGGAAAAAAAAGTTTGGGAACCGTTGCCATAGATAAGTATATAATATGTCTTATACCTAGAAGGACATACCGCCTCCGTTCAGAATCGTTTTTCTTATACAATGATATTATATCATTGAATTCAAATGTAATACCATCCATTATAAAGTGACCCACTTGTAACCTACTGTACAGCAGAGCGACACCCACTTGCCCATCTTTACTATATATTATATTATATATTTACATAGAATAATGTATGGGTGAGATAAAAATAGATTTTAAATCAGTGCTTGAAACCGGTATAAGCTATAAAGTATAAAACGTTAAAAAACCGAAACCGGAAAAAATTGGATACCAGTATTACCTACAAAACCAAAACCGGAAAAAATTGGATACCGGTATTATAATTTAAAACCAAAACCGAAAATATAATTTAAAAAACGGTATTTTTTTTGAAAATCTTTGTATCTCGAACATTTTGGAAAGTTTACTTTACACAAAAGGCGATTCAAATAAATTAATAAAGTATAAGAATGAACGTACATAGTCCAGGGCTTAAAAGTTAAAACTGATTTTAGAAACCGATATATAAACCGTTTAAAAACTGAAACCGAAAACAAAATGAAAAACAAATCCTGAAAAAATTGGAAATTGGTATTATAAATAAAAACAGAAACCGAACAAAAATATGAAACCGGTATACAAAATCGAAACCAAAACCGAAATTTCCTAATTCCGGTATTGAAAAATTAAAACCAAAACATACATTACAGAAAATAAAATAGTTATTACGAATATTACGATCGAATAATATAATGCACAATATTGTATTAAGTAACTGTCATCAAAACATTATATAGCCATATAGGTATATAATATATATTTGGAAAAACCATTATTTTCTAAATGGGTTTAGCTAGTTTACTTTTTTGCAATTAAAAAAATATTTTATTTTAGATTCTCAGCAAATGAATCGAATTTGTAATGATGTGTGTTTTTTTGTTTTATTTTTTTTTCTATTTCAATACCTTTTCAGTGGAAAAGTGAATATAATAGTTAGTATTTTTAAGATGTCAAAATTGGAAATGGGATTTTTTAAACAAAACCAGTTTTCTATAAAATGAAATATGTTTTTTGGGATAACTGACAATTAAAATTCAAAACCGCAGATACGTGAAATTTTCATCGAATGTTATATTATTAATTTAACAGTAGGTATATATTTTTTAATATTTTTACTTTTTTGGAGCTATTTATAATAGATATAAGAAAATGGTGTTTTATAAGCTTTTCTTTAATTGTTGCAGATTCAACTTACTGTATTATTAGTAGCAAAAAAATGACTTTAATTGTAACTTTGTCATAATATATACTTAGTAATATAATAGATGTCCTGTGTTCGCCCATAATTGATTTTCAAACGAAGTTATATCATTATTCTTAATACATTATAGTACCTAGGTGGCTAGGTATCACAAATTAAAAGAATTTTACACTTTATATACGCAGGTATCGGCTTTGCAACTTAGCGGTACCCACTTGCCCAATTATTTAGTTTCTTTTAGGTATTTATCTTGCGTATCACAAATTAAAAGTATTATAATTGTAGGTAGGTACATACCTCTGATTCCAAACTTACACGATTAAGTTTAATATTTCATGAAATTCGCACAGATGTCTGTTTGTCTGGGAAAGGCTTCGAAACGTATGAACCGATTTTGATAGGAAATTCAACAAAAATCCTAAAAGGGATTATTGTATTAATAAAACAGTTATAATGATTGGATATCATTTTAGACTCATATAGTATGATCAAAACAATCAAATAACAGTGTTGAGATGTGCAGTTTGCGTAAAGTAGAGTTTAGGTAGAAGTAAATCCTCAGGCATTTAATTTTTCACGGGCAATACCGTGGGGAATCAAGAACATCTTTACGCGACTCTTTTTTAATCGTATTATATTTATTT